TGGTTGTGGTTTCTGTGAACACACCTTGGATGATACCCATAGGCTTATATATGCCGAGGGCGTACGTGGAATTGGGGTTACCATCCCGTATCGTCGTATTTTGTTCTCTTTATATTCCCCATTCTCTAAATCCCTTGCTATATCCCGTTTTCAAAGTGGTTGTTGTATTCTATTGATATGCATCGAAGTGAACCATTGGGTGGAGTTTTCTCCAGAACCTCTTGGTTACTGAGATATATTCGTATATCTCACCCCATCTCGGGGCATTTATTTCAGGAGGTAGCAGTGGAGCAGGAGCCTCGGGCAAGAGGCCCGCAGAGTGAGCGATTGAGCGTTTCTTATTTTGCATTTTGTTGGCCGTGTGGCCTAGGCTAGACTTAGGGCATGAACATGTCATTTGTATTTATTAGTAGCTTCATTAGCATCTTGTTCATGCCATTTTGCCTAAGTCTAGTAGTGATGTATTTGGTTATGTTGTCTTTTAAATTAAGTTGAAATTTTAGAAGAATGTAATTTGAAGTTTTAGTTTCAAGTTGTAATTTGTAAAGCCATATTGTAATAGTATTGATGCATGTCTAATTATGATGGAAGGGCCTTAGGCCTATTTTAGGTTATGATAATATGTATGATGGAAATATGCATGAAAAAGGTGTTAGTGATTGCAACTACTTAAGAATGATTAATATGGACTCTATGTTTAATAACTATAAACTGGATTGGGTTGTAAGTGCCCCAAGGCGTTGTTGGTCCTTGTGTGTGCCACCCATTGGATTATTACTGTATTATCATGTGTTTATTAGGTACATTTGAGGTTTAAATGATCTTTTACAAATTTGGGATTATTGGAAAAACAAAGGAAACTCTGGCGAATTTTCTGTAGAATTGACAGATTTTAGGAAAACTTCGGGAGAGCATATCTCCCTCCATAGAGGTCCCCTAGGGACGTGCCATACGCCATTTTGAAGGTTGAGATGTCCTCTACCTTGTGTCAAAATTTAAGGAAAATCTGGGTTGATATTCGGCCTGAAAAAAATAGAGAAACACGGACTGCCCATGTGCCCCTGCACCTGAGGCAGATTCTGGACCGGATTTGGGAAATTAATTCCCGCTTCGTTTCTCAGTCAAATTGAGTGTGTGATATATCAAAATGAAGTTTTAGATGTCTAGTTTGTAGGATAAAAATTTGAGAGCAAATGGTTGAGTCGATTGAGTGCAGTAATTCGAGCAATGTGAGTGGTTTGGAGCTGTTTTTGGGGTTGTTTGGGCTAATTGCTTATCCAACTTCAAACGGCGATAACCGGAGCAAATGAGCTCCGAATTGAGCGTATGTTAGCTTGTTAAAAAGGGAATTAAGTAACACAAAGATATAATCTGAGAAGAAGGGTTGGTTGCGATCGGTTTGGTCGCAGAAAAACTTAGAGTGAAACATGTTCGAATTGGTAAAAAACGTAAAGTTGGAAATTGGGTAAGTGAGTTTATGGGAACTCCTTAGTAACTTATAATAAGTAACGTAAGTGATAAAAATAGTTTAAATAAGTCTTCCGCAAGAGTTTACGGTTACAGTCACAGCTTTTAATTATTACGCCTTTTTATGTTTTAAATGCTCGTGTAATAATCGGAAAAAAAATTTATTCGCGTTTTATAAATGAACTGCTGTGATTGTAACTGCGCTTAATATCATAATTAATGTTAACAATACCGGTACGTAACGGGCTGTTACATAACGTACCTTAGTTCATGTACACCTACAAAATTTTCAATTTCAATAACATAATGAATCAAAACTCTATGCAACAATATACCTCAACCTCCATGGCATCTGCAAAATCGAAAATCAATTACAGGTGAAATAGCATTGCTACATTACCATCATTTATCGCACTTATTTCATACTTAACACTATCCATGGTGTTAACATGCCAACTACTTATGAAGCATATTAATAATCAACATAAGAACCTAGAGTCATGGAGACCACTCAACCCACAAACTACTTGTATATGCACAAAAGTCGCATATACAAGATCGCGCGTGGCCTTGCCACAAAGTTCAAGTGTTACCCACTTAAATTCCCTGAAGAGAAACTCGCATTCTCAACAAGGCACCATCACGATTAAGTAATGGCGTAAGGCATCATACCTTTTAACAAAAATAACTGGTGCTCCCCAGGGAGACACGCTCGGTCGAATGAAATCTTTCGCTGAAAGATCCTCAATGTGCTTCTTCAGCTCCGCCAACTCCGGTGGCGACATCCGATATGGAGCTAATGAAATAGGCCCCACACCAGGCGACAAATCAATGGAGAACTCTATCTCCCGCTGTGGCGGAAACTCAGGAATCTCCTCAGGAAACACCTCGAGGAATTCCCCCACCACAGGAATGCCAGTGATATCATCCTGTGTCCCACTAACCAAACCTCCCAACAAGACATCACCAATGTCTCTCCTCACAAGGCTCTTCTAGCCTGCAACACTGAAATATAAGGCGAGGAACTGGCTGTGGAATCACACGGAGACACCATCACTCGCTAGGCACAACATTCAATCATCACACAGTTTTTGGACAACCAATCCCTGCCCGGAATGATTTCCAGATTAGCCATCGGCAATCCAATCATATCTACCGAGAAGTCACGGCCATCCCACTGAAACACGACATCTCGATGTACAGTGGTAGAATCACACTTCTCTCCGGTGGTGGTGGTGGTCACCCGCAACGGTGGAGAAAGCACAGACATGGGCAACTCAAGCCCCACAGCAATCGGGGTAGCAATAAAGGAATGCGTAGCCCCGAAATCAAACAAAGCATCAACAACAAATCCACCAATGGAAACAGTACCTCTAACAAGGTTCGGAGCTCGGTCCGACTGCTGGCGATCCAACGTATACACACGTCCAGTAGTAGGTGGCACTGCAGGTTCCGAAGTAGCAGTCAAAGGAACCATCTGTAACGGAACTGCCTGAATCGTTGTCGCTTTCACGGTCGACGACAGACAATCTCGGGAGTAGTGACCCTCCTTGCCATAGTGAAAGCAGATCAACTGACCGGTAGCACAATGTCCTGTATGCTCCTTTCCGCACCCCGCATATCTAGGAGTGGAAGGAGGTCTAGCAAAACCTCCCTACTGCGAAGAAGTCCTCTTGAACTGAGTAGACGCCTGCCTAGCAGCTAACTGCTTCCCGTTGCCCTTTCCAGCAAACTTCCTGTCTTTCCAGGAAGTGGAACTACTCGTTCCCTTCGTCTCAGCAATCTTGGCTCTCTTGACCTTGCTCGTCAAACAGACATCCTCGATGTCCCGACACTACTGCACCAGTGTCCCAAAATCTCTCGAAGCCACTCCAGCAAGAGGAACAACTATCTCCTTGCTAAGTCCCCTACGGAACTTAGCAGCAAAAAAGGTCAGAGTAGGCATAGCCATCCAAAAGTGTGCAAACTTCACCAGCTCATTAAACTTTGCCAGGTACTCGTCAACAGACAACGAGCCCTGCACCAACTTGTCGAACTCCCCCTGCTTCCTCTCCTGCGCTTCATAAGGGAAGTACCGACACAGAAAGCAATCTTCGAAGAATGGCCATGTCATAACATGACCCTGCATCTCAAAAGCCTGAGAGGTGTTCATCCACCACTCATGGGCATCGCCCTCCAGCATATACGTGGCGAACATCAGCTTCTGCGGATCAATACACTGCATCAAACAGAAAATCTTGTCCAGCGCCTGAAGCCATCTCGCTGCAGTAATTGGGTCATAAGACCCATCAAAGGAAGGTGGCTTATGCTTGCGAAAAGCATTAAGCCGGCGGTCAATCACATCTCGATCCTCAACATGCTCCAAGTAGGGTTTCATCACCCCAGTAAGAGGAGTAGTACCCTCAACGTGACTCAGGCTCTCATCCTGAAGGCTAGGTGGAGGTGGAGGTGGTGGCGGAGGGAACTGACCAACAACAGGACCAGGCCTCATCTTCTCCAACGTGACCCTCATCATAGACATGTTCGCCAGGCAGTTCGCCTCCAATACATCCTCAATGGCTTTCCTATTCGCCTCTTTGACGGCGTCCAACATAGCCTGGTTTGCCATTCTCATGGCCTCCTGGTCGACAAGTCGCGCCGCCTGTATCTCAACCAATGCAGCCAGGACAGGATCAGATTGATCCCCGCTAGTGTCTCGGTTCCTCCGAGGTAGTACCATGACTCTGCACAAGTTACACAAAGAGTGAGTTGATCAAGCCCACACAATGTGGTCACATATGCATCACCATAACAAAACCCAATGGAGAGAACGCGCAGACACGACTCACAACAAAACATCCTAAGTTATTGTAGGCCTCAAGAGATGTGTTTGTCTAAGCGGAATTTCTTTTTCTTTTCAATTATGAGTTCATTACCAAGTTAAATTACATATTTCCAAAACATTGTATTTTGCAAATAGACATCTAACTGAATACTCAATATATAAGTTAATAAAGAATCGCTTTTACATTATTACAATTAAAAGTAAAGAGAGATGTGTTTGATCTGGTTAATTACAAAAATTAAAAGTAAAGAGGGGATCTGGTTAATTACAAAAATCAGGGTACGCAAAATTTCTTCAACTTACTAAAAATATAAATTTCCTAATAGACCTTTCTGTCTTTAAAATTTCGTATAAAACCCAGTTCAACGATTCAAAAATATATTCTTTGTAATCTGGAAACTAGACATCTGGGGCTTCACGTTCATATAAAATAATAGTGATTTGGAGTTCGTTTACCCCTCGAAACATAACTCGCAAAATAAGAGATAAAACAGTGAAAATCTCACAAACGTCCTGGCTAGTAAAATTCATAATAAATCGAGCTTTCAGAATTTTTTGCAGGGTTTATATATAATGAAACTAGACACCTGGGGCTACGCATGCATATAAATTATAAGAAAATCGGAGGTCCGTAACCCCAGTACGACAACTTACAAAGTGCTCGCAAAGACTTTTCAAAATTCAGCATTTAGATAACATGTCAAAATCCTTTTCGCAAACGTTTCAACATCTGTTTCCATAATACTTGTTGGTCATAAAATCGTAATGCAATAATAAAATCATAGTTCACAATAATAAAAGCTTCTCAATTTCATACAGTCATCCATAAAATATCATATCAATAGCAGCATGTCCAAAACAATAGAAGCCAACAACAAATATCCAAGTCCTCAAAAGCTTTTACGTCCATTTTGTAAAAATAGCAGCCCCAAAGGGGTGAGAGAAATCCCAGTAGTGTGGCAACAAAACCAATAATGCAACAGTATTAAACTAGGCACAAAATATAAACAGTCGCTTCAAACATGAAATCCTTTTCATCTTATAACCTTTTCATCATATATCCATTTCATCATATATCATATTGCGTATATAACGCCTTCATCACGCTCATAGCATCGTCGTGCGCGTGCCATCACAGTGGAAATTCCATGCACAACACCATCATTTGGGGAATTCCACTGTGGCCTATGCGGACTGACGCCAACTGTCCCAGTACCCTGATATCAAGGGATGCCTATATGATGCGTGCTCAATCACATGATCCTGTAGATAACTATTCTAAGACTCAAGACTAACATGAATTTGGTACATGCATGCCATGCTATGCTGTCACACACAAACAGAAAGACAAGTGCGGTATGATGTACGGTGCATGCATATATCATCATTTCATAACATATACTTCATGTACATTGGATGCCATACTGCCAAGCCATTCGTTCTTTTCATAACAGAATTTCCATAATCATAACATTTCCATAGGCAGAATAATTTCATCATTTATGGTCGAATAATCATAAGGCACATGTGAGCAACAATTCACAATTCATACACTAGTCAATAGTCACATCAGGTAATACCGCCTAACACATACCTCGCGTGCCACAATTAATTTACCAATGAGCCGCAAAACAGTGCACGGTCTAAGGGTTTAGCGCACCTAATATACCATTGTACCAAGTCAGAATTTTATACAATTATCCCTATAAGTCACCAATAATTTCTAGGCTTCTAATTTATATACTTTCATCGAAATATAAGGTTCCTAGTGCCAATTATATTCTGCCCTTAAGACCATTTCATCATTACTAGTAATCACAATTATTCCAAGGTCCACAATATGCACAGGTTCGGTTTTCATGGTTTACATAAGAAAAAATATATTTTATGACCTTTAACTAATTTTTTTCATGCTTTTAACTCTTACGATTTAAATCAATTTATCATGCATCTCATGTCATTTAATTTTCCGTTTTAACTTTAACTTTGCCAAAGATTAACAAATGACACAAATGTAAATCCCTATTTACTTCGGTTGTCTTTACCCTTAATTAGTTGCCACAAATTATTCTTTACACAGATTTAATTTATCAATGGCCCTTAATTGATCAAACCAAAGTATTCTGTACCTACCTTTTTGGTTCTAAATCAACATTAGGTACTTAACATATTTATCTTATTAGTTCTACACATTACATAGAGTCCCCACTCTCCTTAGTACTTGGTTAATCATCGAATCCTAAGACTCAAGACTTAATAAATTTTCAGATTTAAGGTGCACTACCAAAGGTGATCAAACGAAAGCATCTAAGGTTCTTCTTGCAAACAAAATTCAGTTCGTGAAGTCATCACCTAAGGGTTTTAACCTTTTATTTACCTACATGTTCTACCCATCTTAGGAGATTGGTAGGGCGATTTAACATGCTGTCTAACTGGTTCTTAATGCATTCAAGGCCTGGTTCCTAATTTCATTTACAAAATACTCACAACATCAAAATACTAACAGCATCACATGAGCATGGCTTATTTAATTCTTCCAGCATACGGTCTACACATTTTTAAACACATGCAAAGCCACTACCATTTTCTAATTCAAAGAACAGCCTCTCTAAGTCACAGTAACTGTTTCCCAGCTCTTAATTGAGTTATATTAAACTTACATGTACTCCAAGAGTTCGGTCTTTTATGCTGAACCGAAAGAAGAAGATAACAACAAGAAACTTCCTAGCCTACATGATGTGACCGAGACCAAAGAAGAGAATAGGAACTTGATTGTTCAGTATATTTACCTCCTTGCAAAACACCGATTTCGCCATCACTAACGAGATAGCCAACAAGTTTTGTGCTTGTATATTCACACTCTTACTACACCGAATTTCACAAAACAAAATATGCATGCAAAGGCTCCATTAAAACAGAATGGGACACATAGGAACAGAGGAATAATAAAAAAAAACCGCATCACCTCATACTTCAAGGTGTTTGGCCGAGCACAAGAGGAGAAAGAATAGGAATGCACCCTCAACGTCTCATGCTCCAAAGGATCCGATCCAGCTGCATGCAAAGGATGGAAAGACTTAAGCAAGGCGGACTGTTGTGCATGCAGTGGGGGAAGATTCGATCAGAAGAATTCGAGTGAGCAGGAACAGAAAGAACCACGAAAATTACCTCCTTTCCTTGAGGTGAGGCTTCGGCCGAACAAGAGGGAAAGATGGATGGTGAGTTTATGTTGAAATCCCCATGTTTGCTGCACTTTGCCGAATCAGTGGGGAAGAGAAAAGACTTGAAGAGTGGTTTATTTCTTAAGGGTTCACGGTTTGTAGCAAGAAGGAGAGGATAACTCAGCTTGATTGTTCTTCTAACTAGCGCATAGGGAAACGAAAAATGATGCTATGGGCTCACAATCTGAACCCAAGTCCAGCAAAGAAGAGAAACAAAAATCAGACTTGTTATTCTTTTATTCACACAACACCGGTTGAGAAGGAAACTAGAAGTTGGGGCTGTTTGACATGCTAGTACAGACCAGATTTTTACTTGGCCCCCTATTTTTTCCAACTCATTCGCACAGACCAAGGATGCGAAGTGTGGGATTTTTCGACCAATGACTCTTCATGCAGGCTGACCTCTTTTCTGATCACACTATGCGTATAACAAGGGTATTAGGATGAAGAAGCTTATCATGTGAGGAGTGTCGACCAATGGAAAGAATATGCAGGTGAGTTGCTCTATCACCATTGGCCGTATGAGGATGCAAGGGCTGACTTAGCATGTCCACAAATGCAAGAAAAAATTAGATTTTTATCCTCTGTTATGCGCACATGTGGAGTAGCAAGGAAGGGGCTTGGCCAATCATGAACTGCCTAGTAAGGTTCTTAGGATAAAGTGAGAATGGGATAAGAAGTTGGGGCTGTACCAATGTCCCCCTTAGAGCCTGTGGGCCGTCGACCATGAGTATGGTTGAGTCCTATAATTCAAGTCCAAGGTTCTACCTTCTAATAAACTAGCCCACTAAACCAATAGTTCCCACATCTTCTAAATATTACTAAGATTTTCCCTTTTTATGATTAAATTAATTCGATTATTCTAACTAGAATTTTCTAGGATTTTATCATGTATGGTGACTAAAATTTTATTCTCATGCATTTACTAATTATTAATTAGAATATATATATATATATATATACATATATGTCGAATTCTAAATATATCCACTAATAATTTGCCATAAGAATAGTTTTTCCTAATTTAAATTAATTCCCCTTTCAACGTAAATCGAATTTAAATTTCAGGCATACTCCACATCCCTAATAGTGAATTTTGTAATCTCCCAATTATGCGGGATGTTATGATCTGCTACCTTTGGGTATCTAATTTATTGATACCTAGAGAGAGTATTCGATCATAGATTGACCTACTAGCCCTTGGCTAGACACTTCTGTCACTCCATCAGAACAATACTATACTTGCATCACACATATATAGCAAGCACAAAGCTAATTTGTTGCACTATTTGGTGCACCTAAGTTCCAAGTTCATCAAAATCAATAGCAAACTCCTACTTCTACCAACAACAAAAAATAAAATAGCAAACTCCTGCATATTCATGATGAAGAATGGTGTTCAAGTCTCAATAAAGTGCTACACGTTCAGGCTTGTAGGTAAGGAAATAAAGGAGCGAAAACAAAAATAGACAATTCTTTGTTATTGCATGAATGGGTCTTACATACAAATGGTGGCCAAAAAATTAAAATATTGATGTTTTAATAAATAACTACAAATATATAGCTATTTTGAAAATATTTATGAATCTATAGCACTCATTCACGCCCAATTTGGGCATAAATGGTCACGCCTAAGATAGACGTGATTCACAAGGCATTCACGTCTAATTTAGATGTGACTCGTCTGGTGTTGACACGTGGCACAAAAAAGTCAACTTACGAACCATAAAACTTTGAAAGGTCATAACTTTTGACTCATGTATCCGAATCAGTAATTTTTTATTTCACATAACTTTTCAAGATCTACGCAATGACACCTCATTTGACATATTTTATCTCTCATAAACACAGTTCAAATCTGCAACAATGGTATTATAAGAGCGTTTGAACCTAGAAGCCTTCGAGTTCTGTTTGAACCAACACCAAACACAGTATTCTTTTTAAAAATCTTGAAATTGTAAAAAGTAGTACAAAAAGCAAAAACTAACTTTGTTTCATAGGTAGTGCGTGAAGAATGACCTGGTTTTATCTTACAAGCTCCACCACATCCATTTAAGAGAGAGATGAGCTCGTAGACATAGTGAAAGAGAGTGTGTGTGTGTGTGTGTGTATGTGTGTGTGTTCTTTGTCATTGTTGAGAATAACAATGGAAGTGGAAGAGAGCGGGAGCGAGATGTAGTTTTTTAAAAAAGGTTTTCGAAAAAATGATAATATAATATAATGTGCTCTCATTCTGGTGGTCACTTTTTAAAACAAAAATTAATAGGTGACTTTTTTTAGCTCGGAAGTCCGAATCGGGTATTTTTTTATTCTACATAACTTTTCGATGTTTACGCACTAGAAAATTTCTAAATAATTATTTGTTAATGTTGGGAAGTAAAAATTAAATAACATCATTCACAAAGATAAAATATGTCAAAAGGGGCATCCAATTGCAGGTTTTTCATGGGACTCCTAGATTCTTCTAGTGGATTTTATGCTCTAAAACATGCTTTGATAAGAGGGTTTGAGGTGCTATATATATTTGTAATAATGCATTCTTCGGCATCTATAATATTATAATTCACCTTAAACCCTCTTATCAAAGCATGTTTCACAGCATAAGAACATATTTTTAATGCAACACATCAAAAGTTTTGCATTTTTTAATGCAACTTAAAGAACATTATATTCTCACCAATCTCCCTCACACTTTTATATTATGGCACTTTCTTTTCTCACAATATTATACACTATTTTTTTTAAACACTTGGTAGAAAATATATATTTTAATATGACATTAAGTATCATTATTTATAGATGGACTAATCCACTTTGGTGCCATCTTTAATTTCAGACCACGACTTAAAAGATAAAGTCTCAATTCACAGTGATAAGAATACAACCCATAGGATAGGGATAGAGAGGTTCTAGTAGGCAGAAGACTGTGTTTAGTGTTGATTCGGAAAGAACTCAGAGGCGTACGGGTTTAAATGCTACTTATGGTACCATTATTGTAAATTCAAACTATGTTTGTGAGAGATAAAATATACCAAATGAAGTGTCATTGCGTAGATCTGAAAAGTTATGTGAAATCAATTTTTTTTTACCTGATTCGAATACCCGAGTCAATAGTTATGACCTTTCGAAGTGTTAGATTAAACTGTTAACTTTTTGTGCCACATGTCAACACCAGACGAGTTACGTCTAAATTAGGCATTAATGTCTCGTGAGTCACGTCTAACTTATAAGTGATCATTCACGCCCAATTTAGGCGTTAATGAGTTCTATAAATCTGTAAATAATTTCAATACAGCTATATATTCGTAATTATTTATTAAAACAACAATATTTTAATTTTTTTTCCTGGTACTTTTGTAAAGCACCGTAATATCAAAAGCGCGTGCATTTTCTATTTTTAACTTGCTAATTGAATAATATAAAATATATATTTTATAGACAAATTTGAATTAAATTAAATCAAATAAAACTAGATTACCAAAAAAAAAAAAAATCAAATAAAACTTATATTTATAGTTAATCAATTTAGTGAAAATTAAATCAAATAAAACTAATATTTATAGTTAATCAATTTAGTGATAACATAAAATATTCAATAATATTTGATTAATTAACGTTTCTCATCAAATTTGACTCGATATAGGATGCATTTGAACAAGTTTAATTCTTTTTTTAAACAATACTTATCTTATTATCATAAATTTTTTAAAATATATATATATTTTTTTAAAATAATATATTTATTAAAAAAAATTAACAGACAAACATTTAATTGAAAAATCACTTTAAAAGAAAAGAGAGAGGGAGCAAGTACTTTGAAGTTGGGCCTAGCCTCATCAACAAAATAGTATCTTGTTCTTGTTCGTCTGCGGATAACGCATTCCATAACCTTCTTCCATCAAAGCATCGTACGACATCGTACGAACAGAGTAGCGACACTACGACGTTTAAACGTAGGAGAGGGGTCCTGCAACTCAAGAACTCACAGTATAAAAGAGCAGGTGCATTGGCCAAACATTCTCGCGCCTGATCCTTTCTCTTCTAGCTCTGTTCTCCTTTTTTTTTTCTTTTTTTTTTTAACCGTTTTTGTCATTATTATATATATTTTTGTTAGGTTTCAAACTTTTTACAAATTTGCTTGTTTTGTTCGTATCCAAAATTTTTAGAGCTTGAGGGTTAGGAGGTGTGGATTCAGCCAAATTTAAGTTTCTCGATCCTCACCGAATTCAGCGTTTCCCAACTGTGTCCATAATACCGCCATTAGCGTTTTAATCACTCCCCATAGACTATCTCTCTCTCTCTCTCTCTCTTGTTGTTAGTGTTGTTGCTGCGTTGCTTTGCATAGATTTAGGGCTTCTCGTAAATTTCTTAGTTCCGATTAATATTTGAAGTTAAGATCCACATAGCATAAAATTTCCCAGCTTTTGAGAATGGAAAAGAAAAGGGTGGCGGTTCCTCTTGTTTGCCATGGTCACTCTCGCCCAGTGGTTGATCTCTTTTACAGTCCTGTTACTCCCGATGGATTCTTCCTTATCAGCGCAAGCAAGGGTACGCTTTTTCTTTTTCCGTGTTTTAATTGGAATTTAAATTATTTCGTTGTTCCTATTTTGTCTGAATCGGGAATACGAAGTATGTTTCGATTGTGTTTTTTTTATTTATTGTTTATTTATTATGGATCTGACTTTGATGGGTCAATACTCAAGATCAATTTTAGGGTGTGATTGCATTTTGCATGTGGGATATGTGCGGTTTGGCTCGATGATTTTGAAACGTGATGCATTTTGTAGAAGATGGTGATGATGTGAGTTTTTTGTGTGTGTTTTCAGATTCGAGTCCTATGCTCAGGAATGGAGAGACTGGAGATTGGATCGGAACCTTTGAAGGGCACAAAGGTGCAGTATGGAGTTGCTGCTTGGATACTAATGCTTTGCGTGCTGCAACTGCTTCTGCTGATTTCTCAACGTATGTGATTAATTTTTTTAATTTTTTCGTTGGTTATGCATACTACTTGTGAACCCTGTTGTTGGTCCTCATCATATTATTTTAGAAACCTGATCATGGGTTCTGATCTCTTTTTAAATATTGTTGGCCACTAGATTTTTACTGGTCCGTGTGTTTATACTTTTGTTGCAAATGGGAAAGTTTATTCCAATGTATGTTAGTTAGAGGTAGGTAATAGTGCCCGCAGCTGCTGCTATCGTGCCGCCGTAGAATGGACCTGAGTCTCTCCACCCTCAAACACTTGTCGCAAAGCGTTTTACTATTGTGGTGTAGATATAGCACCACTGTCCTTTGTGGTTCGAGTAGTGACCAATATTTTGGCTTCCTAGACAAGAACCCTATCACACATCTGGCTGTTGAGGAGCTTCTTTGATATATACAGCACCTAGTTTTGAGAACCCATTGTCCATCTAGCCAGATGTAGAAGTCTCGTTGTTGGACTTCACTCCATGTGCGGCTGTGCTTGTTCAGAATTGAAATGCACAGTCCCATGAAGTTTGTTCCTCTGTTTGCATGGCACCTGTTCGTGTTCCCTCTGAGCAATTATTTTCCCCTTTCTATCTTCCAAGTAGGCAAATCATACTAAATGGAACAGTTATTACTGTCCTTTTCTATTCGTAATTTACATCACTGTCTTCTTCATTTTAGTAATTGAAACCACAATCATGTTTTTCTTGGTAATAATTGTTCTTTTTATTTGCTTATGCTAATTAAATTTCTATTATTGGAACTTTTTAAGTGTTTAACAATCCTTTGACTAAGAGTCATGATAAATGTCTTAAATATTGAGTATTGAAACTTTGTTTGCTATTTATTTGTTTATGGTATAAACTATGGAGTTATTACAATGTTTGGAATCACATTTTGAGAATTGATTTGATTTTAAAATCGTTTAAGATTTAAGTTAATGTGCATTTAGAAATTCACTCAAATTTGGTAGGATTTGATTTTAGTTGTAATTGAATGAATTGATAATTTTCCCTTATTAATTTTGCCAAGCAAGGTTGACAAACTTGAGATCCTACCTAGGATTTGTAAGGGGAAGTAGACACGTAGAATTTTAGATCGTAACCATAACCATACTTATCAATCTCGAATAGTGTCGTGGAGTGGTTGACTCCAAAATCGCATAGCTGGATAGTGGGGTTGTCGCTATATTGAAGTCTATAAATGTGTTAAATAATTTATTCTACATATATATACAATGTTATTTAGACCGAGATCCTACATAGGATTAGGAGGGGGTGGTAGGAACATGAATTGTGAGATCAACACATATCGTAAGATCCTATTAGCGTAAGATACAAAATTATCCGTATATAATGGTATGGCAGTATGAGCTTAATTATTTAACTAAAGCTCTATTTTATCTAAAGCCTCGCCTCAAATGGCTATTTTTTAATTTAAATATCCAAGATTGAAATAATATTATATCATATGCACTAATAAAAGCACCAACATGGCAACATGTTCAATTCAGCTCAAAACAGTATTGAAATAATAGAAGCACCAATAAATCGGGTCCTAGTCTCGATTACTTGTATCTCAACTCATAGTTATCAAATGCGGATTGCGGCATGTCGCGGCCAACTCCGAAAAACGCTATAGCGTTATAGCGGTTGCGGAAATAGCGGAATACATATATGACAAAAATAATGACAAAAAGAAACAATTTTTAAAGGCAGAGATAGCAGAAGTGACAGAGAGAGACGCGGATAGACTAAAAAACCCTTAAATTTTTTCTGTTACACATTTAAATTTAGGACAAAATTGATATTTTGCCTTATGACAGCAATATGGCCGCAAATGCGATCGCAATGGCCGCTATTGCGTTCCAGTGCGGCGCGGTTTCTTGCGGAGAGGTACCGCAACGCCCATACGGCGCGGCTTGCGGCGCTACTGCGGCGCAATTAACTACTATGCCTCAACTCAGGAACCTCAACTCTTCACCATCACAACCAAGGCAAGAGGGTCGCAGCCCATCCACCAACCACTGCAACAATCGTAAGTCGCAACTTCTAGAAGGTTGAGTTGAGGTGTTTTTTGGCTTTGAAAGAAATCTTAAGTCAGAGAACAAAGGGGGAAGGTAGGTTGGGGTTTTCGATTTACAATTTTAGGGATTTTGAGTAGTGTTGAGTGAGTTTTCCAGGTTGTGGGCTTGGGATTTTTTGGATTGAAAAACATGGTGGGATCGCACGATGCCATCGATCGTAGAGTTTTCAAAGGCAATCCCTCGTGATCTTACAAAATCATGATCCCAGGTGCGATTTGAATTGTTTGAAGGGGGAAAATAGTAGGATCGTGCGATGCTGCGATTTAAATCGCAATTTTAAAAACAAAGCATGTATAAATGCTCAAAAATATAAAGTACCCCGTTAAGACATTCATAATTAAATCAAAAGTCATAGCCTTAATCCAATGCCAAACATACAAGTCATAGGTTAATGCCAAAGTCAGAACCAGATGACTCAGAAAGTAAAAAGAAAAAATTGAACTGAATCAAGGCAGATAGACAAAAAACCTAACTACTAAATAGGGTGCAGATTGCAAACTCCAGAGGCAAGGCTTGTTCGGAAAACAGCCGGCAAGCAGTGGTGTTGTGTCAAATTGATGGAATAGCAGAGAGATAGAGCAGTGGCCGATGGAATGCAATGGATGCAAAACCACCGGTGATCAGTGTGTGGGTGTAGATTTGACAAACCAAATGAGAAAGAGAGATAAAGAGCATAGTAACCTGACAAGAGAAGGGGGGAGGGGGGTAGAGAGAGATTTGTCTCAAAGGGTTTTGGTAATAGAAGCAGAACTGAAATCTGGTTAAAAGTAGATTGGGAACAAAGAGGGGTTCTGATAGGATCAAACAATTTTAAAAGTGAAAATATCACAATTGATTGTATTAACTCTATGGAATTAACAAGATATAATCTCTGCTACAAGAATTCAATTATTACAGAGCAAGATAATAACTGAACAGCAGTACAAGAGCCAAATAGCATCAGAGCACATATGAGACGCCCTAGGTATCTCCCAAATATGGCCTAATTCCCATGACCTCAACAGGTGCCTCTACCCATGCAAACACACCTAAATAACAAACTTCCAACCTCCTACTCACGTAACTAATTCACTCACCCATTAAGATGTTTGGCTCACACTCCACAGCTTCACGCTCTACAGGTGCTGCGTCATCATTCATTGAGGCCCAATTGATCTTCCTCCTATTTTTACCACGAGCATAAATCAGAATGGGCTTAAACGAGTTGGATTTAGGCTCCAAGGGTCTATCAATACTTCCCCCCAATTTAAGCACCTTGTCCTCAAGGTGGGCAGTAGGGAACAAAGCCTCCAAATCCAAAAAGTTTTCCCTAGAGTTTTCAAAAGAAGGCAAATCCTTCCATTTCACCTATACCTCGAGACCGCCAGAATGTCGCCACTGCAAAACATCCTCAGGCTCCACTTGCAACTCCCAATCAGTAGATAACATAGGCGGTAATGGCTGAGCATTAGGCACAGGATTAACAGCCTTCTTCAAAAGAGAAACATGGAAAACAGGGTGAACGCGACATCCATCTTGCAGAGATAGACGATACGCTGTAGCCCCAATTTTCTGCAAAACCTCAAAGGGTCCATAGTAACGAGGACTCATCTTCTCATTGATTTTTTTAGCAAGAGTTTTGAGACGATATGGTTGAAGCTTCAAATAAACCAAATCACCAACTTCAAAAACAACCACCCTGCGATGCATATTAGCTTGGGCTTTCATGCGATTTTGCGCCTTTAATAAGTTAGACTGAAGCTCATCTAAAATGGCATCTCTCTCCATTAGCAACTGAGACACCGTATCAACAGAACCAGCACTGTTACCTACCCTCAAAACATGCGGGGGATCAGATCCATACAATGCTTTGAAAGGCGACATTCCAGTGGAAACTTGTAAATTGTGTTATACCAAAACTCCGCCCAATGCTTAGGCCACTGTTTTGACCTGAAATGGCAGAAACATTGAAGGTACGTTTCCAAGCATCGGTTAACTACCTCCGTTTGACTGTTCAATTGCGGGTGGTAGGCGGAACTATAATGTAACTTGGTACCAGCAGCCTTGAATAACTCTGACCAGAAATGACTTATAAAAACCTTGTCTCTATCCGATACAATGTTGAGGGGAAAACCATGCAACTTCACTACAAAGAGAATAAACAACTCAGTCACATCTTTAGCAGAATAAGGATGAGCTAAAGACATATAAAGTGAGCATATTTAGTGAGTCTGTCGACAACTACGAAAATAGTATCCAAACCACCAGCCCGAGGAAGACCACCCACAAAATCCATAGAAACAGCACTCCAAACCTGAGTGGGAATAGGCAGAGGTTGGAGTAACCCAGCTGGTGACAAGTTTTGCACTTTGTTCTGCTGACACACAGCACACTTAGCCACATATTTTTTAATTGAATTGCGCATGCCTTCCCAAAACACAACACCTGCGATTCTTTTAAAGGTTCTGAAAAAACCAGAATGGCCCCCTAAACCAGAATCATGGAATTCATGGAGAATTATGGGAACGAACCTGGAGGTCTTAGAGAGCACCAATCTTCCTTCAAAAAATAAGCGACCCCACTCAAGGAAAAACCAGGTTGTGAGTCAGGATCAAGTAACAGAGCCTGAATAATAGCACGAAGCTTGTCATCTTGCTGCACCTCTTTTTCCCACTCCTCCCCTTCAGGCAGCTGCAACTTAGTGATGGCAGCACACTGCATTTGCCGTGAAAGAGCATCAACTACAACATTGTCCCTTCCCGGCTGATATTGTATTTCAAAGTCGTAACCCAACTGTTTAGAAGTCCATTTCTGCTGCTCCTCACCTAAGACTCGCTGATCAGTCAAAAACTTGAGACTCTTTTGGTCCGTGCGCACAATAAAGTGCCTGCCCATCAAATACTGACGCCATTTTTGCACAGCAAAAACA